AAATATTGCCTACAATATATTAATCAATTTCGAAAAAATGATGATAAGTATAAGTTTAAATTTTATAATCCACGTGAGTATTAATTTTGAGATCCGTGTACTATTCAAAATTTCACATTACTAATTATGTTCATTTCCTGTGAACTTCATATTGATTTACTGATTTTATTTTATTTTCATACAAAGTTGATAATCTCATTTTGTTTTACTATATTTTCGTGAAATTTAACAAAGTCGGTTGCATTTATAATACGATTTGGATATCAACATACAATTTATAATGGAGTTTTCAAAATCGTGAACTATTATCAAATAATATATTATCATTAAATTATTTATTTTTAAATGCACAACTATTGAGACTGAGAATTTAAAAAATATTTTACCTTTTCAAATCGAGTTAAGAAAAAACAATGGTTTGATAAACAAATAATTGATAAATATTACCAAGTTTATTATCACACGTTCCACATAAGTTTATTTCACAAATATAAAGACCGATATTCAAAAGGTTTTGTACCTTTTAAATTGAGATTTTATAAATATAGAGACTGAGATTTTAATATTGTTCGTTGTTTTTAAGAAAAAAACTAAAAGTAAAACATGCACACTTAATAGATCTTAGCCGAAATTTTTAAACAATAAAATAAATTAAAGCTCGAAATTTAAGGCAGCATTTAATGATGTATGATTTCTTAAAGATAAAAATAAAAAAATGATAAAACTTACTATTTATGGGTTGCATTAAATTCTGTCATATTTTTTTGCTACTATTTCTGGTAAATGGTTATTCTTATATATATATATATACTAGTTGTCTCCTGGCTGTGCACGCACAGCCGGCTCAAATTTAGTCAATTATCAAGTTAAAATTTAGCTAAATTTTCCCTTATAATTTTCCACATGTTCATCCAAATGTACGATTTATCTTATAATTAAAAACACCTTAAAAATAATTTCGGTATCTTGTATAATTTGGTTCAATTTCCCTCCGACAAGTGATTCACTTCTATTGTTTGCCCGAGAGATCGTAATTAAGCACACCTTCAAAATAATTTTGGTATCTCGTATAATTTGGTTCAATTTCCTCTCCGACAAGTGATTCACTTCTATTGTCTGCCCGAGAGATCGATTAAGCTCGTTTTTCAGCTCGCGCCAGCTTCTTCAGGGCTCGTCCTTGTGCATCATCCTTCTCTTAGTGTCCTCTATATCGTTTGCCTTGTCGTAACTGTATTTCAAAAGAGAGAATATGCGTGCAGAAAAATCAGAAAAATGTAACAAACTTTATAATATAACGTCTAACTACATTAATAGCTTATATATGTCAATTTTAACTACATTAATTATATAATAAAAATAATAATAATTAATATAACAAAATTAATTATATAATAAATTAGTCTTCACACCTATACAATGAACATGAAAACGAACAGTTCGTTTACACCAATACAACAGCTGCTAGTTACAAGCTATACAAATATGGATATTTCACTCATAAATCAAGACTTGAGGTGACACGATGTAACCAGTTAAGTTGCAGGAAGTTACCTAGACAATGACACATCAATTACAGATTCATTATATTTAATAAATGTACTACTCCTGTTCTTCTAACCCCTTTCTGTGAAAATGAAAGTTACTAACACAACTAACTCGTCAGTTATATAGTTTCTATACACTTAATAAATGAACTTCTAACCCTTTTATTCAAACAATTTTGTAGTCTGCAAATCTTCCTAGCTCCAGTGAGGTAATTTCAAGGGCTGAAAAAATCTTGAAACCTGCTACAGTACACGTTTTAACGATTACATTTCATATAAAACGCAGCTTGCCAAGGAAATTGCATATTGAGTGGGCATACCATACAAAATTAAGAGGTCGTTCACCATTTGAAATCTTATATTATCGGTGTCCTTTCAAGATACACTTTCTATATTGTACCAGAAACATCTTCAATGCTCTCTCCTTTTTCGTTTTTCTATCTCTTCTTTTACAATGGGCAGATTGGATTTCTCGTAATAAAAAATGTGCAAATGAAAATAAAAAAACTTTTTAAGATAAAGAGAATTGGAATATACCTTGTCTCTCTGTCTCTGCCTCTCATGCTGTAAGAATTCTCTCACTGTAAGCTGCCGTCACAGATAGATTCTGCCAACAATGGTTAGTCACAGGTCAGTGGCAGATAATTGAAACCACAAATATATTTGACAGAAGTAAGGGAATTCAAACCTTGAGATCACTTCTGCTGTATCCTTCTGTCATTGTTGTAATCTCTTTGAAGTCAAGGTTTTCAGCTTTCTCTTTCGACAGTAGAGTTCTCAAGATCTTTTCTCTGTTTTCCATTGAAGGTAGATCAACCATGATTTTGTTCAACAAAAATGTGAATATGAGCATGGTTTCTTAAAATTTTTGGATTCACGAAGATAAATGTACTTTTCTACCTTAATGTGTTTTTCTTGGGTAGCTAGACTAAAGCTTGATCTTATTTATTTACTTAATTTTTCGAACAAACCCTTTATCTACAGACAAAATTGCACTTATGAAGGACCTATCTCCATTTAAATCCAACAGAAGAGAAGCCTAGAGTTCTAAATCACCAGACACTATAGAATGGTTTCTTCCATGATACATTTTGGACATCAAATGACTTATGAGATCGGTATCCTGTAGAATGCTTTCTAAAATGACCAGAGCTGCTCCTTGCTCTCTGTCGCCCACCGGCCATAGAAGAAATGGAGCCAATTCAAGAAAATTATGCAACAACAAAACTAAAAATTATAATGTCACCTTAATTCAAAATTCACTTTGAACCATAACTTGCCGACCGAAAGGAATTAGCTTGGAGACGATGGCTAGTAGACGCTGGCACAAAAGGTTGAGGACTCAACCCCGTCTTACAGATATAATCACTAATTTAGAAACAAGAACGAACAATAATTCTAGGCCAAACTTAACAAAGTTCTGATAATCGTTAATGCTGAAAGTTCACAATCACCCAAGTTACAACAAAAATCATTAGGTCGGCAGTACCTAGAATCTGAGAATAGCTTCTTTTTNTTTTTCAAATTTCAAGTTCACACACACTTTCTGTTTAGAGGTTTGCAAATTCTCTTAGAGGCAATATCAAAATCATTCTAATACATACTTGCTGTAAACTCTCCCAACTAAATGGAAAACCAAACATAGGAAAGGTCAATAAAATCAAACCCCGGAAAAACAGTAAAATAGGCTCAATTGTCCATGCCAAATGTAAAATTCCTGTAAGCTAAGCACAACTAAGCAATAGCTCCATAAAAGAAAAATCCAAGAAATTTAAATGTATTAATACTAATAGTAAATTAATAATCAGACAACCCAACAACATCGATCAACAAAAACCCGAAACAATTCATAAAACCTCAATCCAAAAGGTGTTTCTTTCTGCAAGACCACAGAAAATTCTGACAATCAGAAAGCTAAAGATCAAACCTTTAACCATTTGTTCGTTGTCATAACCCTTTGAATTGACCCGAATCGGTTCGATCCGCCTCGATTTAGAGCCAGCCGATGATGTAGTTGGGCTCCGACAACTTGTCGAAGAGCAGGACAACAAGTCATTTGATTGCGGGGGGCCACTAGAAGCCATTTGCGGCCGCGCGGGTTTGCTGGGTCAGTGGTGGAGAGGAATGGATTGTGGGTAGAACTCAGTTGCTGAATTTGTGGCGCCTTTGGCGGCGCTTGCTCATGGTGGTGGCCGCAGGCTGTGGGTGGATGGCTGGGGAGAGATGTCATGAGTGGCTGCAGGCTGTGGGTGGATGGCTGGGGAGAGATGTCTATGAAGGTAACAACACAATCTAGGGTTTTGTGTGAGCTTTATTGGACCTCGTGATTTTGCTTCGCTGTAGGAAGGGAGGCGGCAGCGGTCGGGTGGTCAGGGAGGAGCTCGGCAGTGGCGACGGCAGCATGGCCGAAGAGACAGCCGCGAATGTTGCCGGCGGAGGAAGAGGAAGAGCGGTGGAGGAATGTCGAATTTTTTTCTCTCTGGCAGAAGATAGAAAAGTGGGG